TGTCGTTAGTGTAGGCGGCGTATAGGCACGGCGAGAGGCAGCTGCCTTGTGGGACCCCGGCCTGGATATCGCGTGGCTGGGATTGCACGTTCTCGACCGCCACCGTGAAAGTGCGGCCGGACAGGAATTGGTTTAAAAGGTGAATAAAGACCTGTGGGATGGTTGTCGACGTGGACAGTTTGTAGATCAGACCGGCGTGCCATACGCGGTCAAAGGCCTTCTCCACGTCGAGGAAGATTCCAATGGTATGGTGTCCGGCGTTACGCTCCTGAGCCAATAGGTGGAGCACGCGAGTAAGCTGGAGCGTGGTAGAGTGGCCGCTGCGGAATCCGAATTGCTCGTCCCTTAGTGGGACGTGAGGTCGGACTCTACGCAGCAGTAGTCGCTCAAACAGCTTACTCACGTGGGAAAGTAATGTGATAGGGCGGTAATTAGCGGGGTGGCGTCTATCTTTGCCCGGCTTGGGGCACATTATCACCCGTCCGGTTTTCCAAGCCGTGGGGAAGTGCCCTGTTCGTAGGACCGCGTTAAAAAGCCGGGTGAGTGTCACCACGGCCCTCCAGGGTAGTCGGGTGAGGGCTGTGCTGCCTATATTATCGGGCCCAGGGGCCTTGCGCTTGGGAAGGTAGCGCAGGGCTTTGAATGTTTCCCTAGGGGATATAAAGTCTGTGCTTTTAAGGGGCGGGGGGGGTGTAGATAGTACCTCGGTGACCTCGCGCTCAACCCTTCTGTGAAAGAGGAGCGCGTCGGTGTCGGCATCGGAAGAGGGGGGTGGGGGGTGAATTGTCCCTCTAGGTGGGTGGCGAAAGCGTCGGCGCGCTCCTGCGCGCCAAAGCATAGTTTGCCGGCCGTGTTAATTAACGGGTACGTCGGTTCTTTTATACCCGTTAATTGGCGGTTGAGGCGAAAGAGGTCGGCGGGCTTCCCGGTGGCCACACGGTCGATGTGGGCCTCCCAGAGATCGCCCCGCCATACCTTAACCGCCTCCGCGAGGTCATTGGACGTCTTGTTAAGCCGCGCCTTGGTGCGTGGACAGCGCGTATGCGCCCACAGACGGCGCAGGTCACGCTTAAGGCGCAGCTTGTGTTGCAGGTCCCGCGGTAGTTTGTCCCTGCGCTGTGTCGCGGGGCGGGGGGTGCACGCCCCCTCCTTGGCCGCGTAAATGGAGTCGGCGATGTGAATGGCCGCTGCGTCAATTTCTAGGCCCGTAGAGAGGGGCCCCGCGAGCGCCAGGTTGCTCAGCGAGGCGGTATAGGCCTCCCAGTTTATTTTGGGAGGCGGTGGGCGTGGGATAATTACTGATGCCTGGGCACCGATCGTGATAAGAATAGGCAGGTGTTGGGTGTCCATGTCGTAGAGCGCCTCCACACTGACTGGTGCGGGCACTCCATGGACTAGCGCTATGTCTAACACGTCGGGGCGGTGGCGGGGGTTGGTGGGAATATGTGTTGGGCCGTCGGACGCCACGGCGACGGCATCGACCGAGTCGAGGGCCCTTAAAAGCTCGCTGCCGGCAGTTGACGTCGAGTGTGACCCCCACTGAGGGTGTTTCGCGTTGAGGTCGCCGGCTATGATGGCCGGCGTTGTACTATTAAATATGTTAGTCAAATCCGAGGCCTCAAAGTGTGTTACCGGGGGACGATATGCTGCAAAGATTCTGATGTCGCTGCCCGCTAGGTGCGTGCGAACCCCTATTGTTCGCATGAGTTCGTAGGCGGGCAGCTCCGGTGCGTCGTGTATGACGTCACGGCGGACCAGTGCCGCGACGCCGCGGTAGGCGCGACCGGTCGTCGTCACCTCGTCGCGTCGGTACACGGTATAGTTGGGGAGGGCGAGTGTGTTGTGTGGTGCGAGCTGTGTCTCGCCCAGGAGGATAATGTGTATATCCTGCGACTGGGCGAGTTCTCGGAGTTGTGAAGTCTTACCACTTATCCCTCCTGGGTTCCAATAAAGTAGTCTGAGTCCGATCCTAGGTGCCGGAGGATGGACGTCAGGCTGACTATGAGTTGGAGGGCCTTGTGACGGTTGCGCGTCTCTAGTAGGTGGAGGGCCGTCTTCAGGCCGGCATTGACGCAGTCCAGCACTTCTTGTGTCGTCACCCCCTCCGTGCATGGGGATGGGTTCTGTGGAGTTGGAATGGCCAGTGTTTGTTGGGTCGGCGGGCCGGGTAATGCCGACGGTGGTCCTTGTCGCATTGGCAAGGGAGGAAAAAGTGTGTGGTATGGTGTGCGGGCGGCCTGCGCGAGGGGCTGGCTTGCTGGCGGGGCCGCCCTGTGGCGGTTTTCCGGCACGCGTCTGGGTGGTACCGCGCTGTCCTGTCGCCGTGGCTGTAAGTGAGTCGCGGGGGCTATTATTGGTTTGGGTTGTTGTAGTAGTTGCGCCATTGAAGGCGCCGGGGGCGCAGGGGGTGGCCCTTCAGCCGCTGCCTGGGGCGGCGCGACTGCGGCCGACTGTTGGGTTGTTTGTTTTCGGGCGCGGCGTCCTCGTCTGCGTCGTCTGCGCTCTCGCGGCGCAACGCCGCGGGTGGTCGGGTCATTAGCTGGTGCTGCTAGTGTGGGCCCTACCTGGGGCTCTGGGATGTCCACAGTTTGGGGCATTGGTGTGGGTTGGTCCCGGCTGAGTTGCGGGGGGATAGGTGGCGGTATTTTGGTGTCCTTTAGGCGGGCCGCCTTCTTGTACACCGGACACCTGCGGTCGTTGGCCGGGTGCGCTTTGTTGCAATTTGCGCACGTCGCCGGTTCGTTCGACCGCGACGGGGGGGGATCGATCGGAGATGATCCACCATGAATCCGCGGGCGCGAAGGGCTGCAATAATCTCGTCCGTCGGGGTATCTGCTGGGAGGCCGCGTATTGCGACCTTCGTGGGGCGGTCCTCCACTGGGGTGTAGCAGTACCAGCTTACTGTTGGGTCGGCTGAAGTTGCGTTTGTAAGATATCGCTGAACAATACGGTACTCTTCAGCCGATCGTGGGAGAAATCGTATGCCCGATTGGTATGGGCGGGCGTTGGGAGCTGAACCTATCATCTCCGTAAGGAGTTTGAAATGTTTAGTCCAGTCGGGTAGTTTTTCCACGATTATTGGTGGGTAGCCACGAACTGGAGCTGTGGTGGGGGGATTGTTTGATGCCGGCTGGGATGGTAGGGGCATCTGGGTGTCCGGTGGGGATGTAAGAGCGCGCGGGGACGGGGGGGCCGACGCGACCTCTGCGAATGTCGCTGAGCGCGGTGCGGTCGTCACATCGCTCGTCAGGGGCGCGAGCGCAGCATATGATGTTGCTGTGAGGCGCGTCGAGGATAATAAGTCCTCGTCGTCAGCCTCGAATTGTGAGGCGTCCGCCTGGCCGCCGCTAGCGACCGGGGTCGCGGGGGGGTTCTCGTGGACAATTGAGCCGTAGGCACTCACCGGTGATGGCGAAGTATATCGTGGACGCTTGTCTGCGCCCTCCGCACTGTCGTCCGAACTGAAAAGCAGTCGCTCCGCTCGCCCCTTCCGCCCGTATACAACTTGATATTCATCATGAATATCGTCGGTTGATACTGGCGGGGGGCGGATTGGGCCTGCTGCTGGTGTAGTGGGCGAGGTCGCTCGACCAGTCATGACTGGGAGTCGGCTCGCGGTAGTTGTTGCCCTCTGGGGCAGAGGAGCATGGGCCGCTACACCCGACGGCCCGGGTTGGGCCACGGGGAGCGGGCCTTGCTGTTGCGGCGAACGCTCGTCAGGCGTTCCGGTGGGGCGGGTAGGGGGGTTCCCCTTACCCGTGATACGAAGATGCCTATCTGGCATTATAGCGTCTGTTTCGCGAACATATAAATCACAACACTGAGAACACAACAATAACTAGGTACACAACACTGTTGCTGAGCGCCCTCGACTATTCGCACAATAGAGGTAGGGTGCTACAGCTGCCGCACAGTCACTTTCTGTATCGCGGTTTAACGGAAGGGAAAAAGCGTCACTGCGCGGTCGTTTTGGGTTACAGGAAGGGGTCACTCGCGGCGACGCGAGCGACACTGGCGAGTGTCCGAGGAACTTCGGGGCGTAGGGTGGGGCTCGACGAAGCTAGGAGCAACGGAGCGCGCACGACCTCTCGCGGCGAAGACTCAGGAAAACTCTGTCGTCCGTAGTCGAACATTTTACATTTTAAACACCCCTGTATCGAGGCAATACCGTATAGAAACCCACATAAGCTCCCTTGACTCGGGCAATACCATATAGAAAACCCACATAAGCCTCCTTGAGTGAAGCAATACCATACAGAGAGCTACCTAAGCCTCCTTAGCGAGGCAATACCTTATAGAAAACCATAGCAAATAAAATCCAACCCCTCACAATCATTTAATTTGCTATAACTTAAATTATCTTAATACTAGGGGAATAAATACACCCATAGGTTGTATCATTTAATTCTAAGCTTTAACCACATTCATTTAACTAAACTTACTTATTATATATAATTTACTTAAGATCATCTAATATATACAACTCGACGAGACGTGCGTCCGTAACAAACATTCTGAATGAACTATACAGTTTAGCTTCACATTCAGATTTTTTTAACGCAGCCTAAACGTGTCGCATGGCTACGAGAATACAACGCTCCGAAAGAGACAAAGGCAATTTTAGAATTTGTTGTATGTAAACATAGGTATTTACCATCGCATACATATACGAGTGGAATTTTTAACCGACTTCAATCAAAAGCAGGTTATCAATTCGAGGTGCATGTATGTACACGGTACTAGGACGGTACATGGATTTCTCGCAAACTAGACGTCGAATTGCAAAAATTCTCTTTCACCGAGCTCAAAAAAAAAATGTCGGAAATGTACTTTTTGTGTTTCGATTTTTTTTATTACGACTTTTTGATGTCGGATTATTTAAATTTTTTTTTACAATTCTAATTTCATCGGTAAGATATCACTGAAGAGTTACATAATTTTTCATTTTGAGGTATGAATCTCTTAAAACTAAAAAAATAACGACATATAAAACTTCTCACCTGAGCAATAGCATTCAGTGAGCCAGCCATGATGCCGATCTGAACGAGCAACCAAGATGCGATGACAGCCAACACGGGGTTCCCAGAATGAGATGCCATAGGCCGTAGTATGAAACCTAAGAACCGAAGAACACACTCATATTCACTTAGATCATATAAATAATCATAGTGAAGTAACTCCCGTGTTCGATTCATGTTTCATTTTTTTCTATAAAAATACAAAACAAGGGTGATTGATACACACGTGTCTCAGATATTCTATACCTATATCATTTAGAAACTCACTTCACTTAGGCCACGAAACGTTAATATTCATTCAAAGTTAATAGGATGTCGAGGTGAATTCGGGCGCCTAGATGAGGTCGAGTTCAAGTTCGGATTTTACGGAATAGCTCTGCAGTAGTGTTTTATATTTTTCACTCGAAATGAGATTTACATAACAATTTCTAACGTGAACAGTCCTCTACGGACCTCTTATTTGTAAATAACGGTTACTCTTTACCTTTGCACGGCAGAGTTACAGGCTCTTTAATAATATTTATAAAAACTTTATAGAGTATATTGTAATATATCTGTAATGACTGTTTGGAAAGGACTTATTACTGAAACTTTTTGTCGCCGGACTGCAGCACTGGCACGTGTAGTAAATAGTTTCTTATAAACGTCAAACGTCATTCAAATAATGAACAAATGTTAACAATGAGTTAAGTAATATCGCACATAGCAGGGATTTAATATTTTTCGATTTTGTAATTAGGAAAAGTGTAATTTTATTCAATTAATTTTAGCAATATTGGCTACATATTTGGATGTTTTTTTTTAAAGTAACTCACCGAATATATTATCTTTGGCCAGCGCTTCTAAAACTCTTGACGCTCCTATGAGATTCGATAATCCAGCAGAGAAAGCCGCCAATAGCATACCTTGAGTTTCATAGAGAAAAGAAAAAACAATTTAATCAATACATAAAATAGATTTTAAAAGGTCACTATGAATTTGAATATGGACTTTATTTTTTAGCATACAAAGTATATATTTCAATTTCTCACCGACGGCTATGAAGGGTGGCCACACGTTGATCGGTTGCAGATAGATATAATTGTTTCTCAGTAAGTCTCTAGTGCACGTGGCCGCTGTTAAAAAACTCAAAGCGACGTAAGAAATGGCAGTGAAGAGTAAAGCTGTCAGAGTACCCATCGGTATACTTCGAGCTGGATTCTTTAGTTCACCTGTAAAAGAACGTATATAATTTGTAATGGACCGAGTATTCGTTTATTTCCTTTTAATCCTCATAAAACGAAACGAATTATGGAATTGTATGTAAAAAAACCTCGATCTAAAGATCGATCGGTTCGATAACAGCATAAAGCTTCAATGAAATAAAACCTTTGTTACCTTTTGAGGGTAGGTTTTATTTGATTAAACCTCTATAGCGTGACAGTAGTGATTTCTATTATGAGTTCGAGGCTGTCTTTATATCAGAATAGCATTGCAATACGCGTGCAATTGTTAGAATTCTTATATCAACTGTCATTCATATGCGAGTTGTAAAATAAAATTCGTTTCGTTCCCATAAAATTAAAATCCGAAACGAATTCGAATATCAACTCGGCCGCCTGGGACTGGAGAATTTTTAAGCAGTTTTCTTTAAGATTTGTAAATAAATAACTAGATTAACCTAATTGAAATAAATAATATAATAAATATTACAATTATCACTCACCACTCATATTAGCGCCGGCCATGACCCCCGTAACACCCGTGAATAGAACCCCGAACACCGAGGCGAAATCTATCATACTACCGTCAGTGTCGGTAGTGTAATCTTTCCCATAATCCGGGTATAGATTCTCCGAGAAAGTCTGCCCGCTGAGGCCAGTGTAATTAAATGTGGTCACGTTCACCAGGTGATTGGTGAAGGGTTTTTCGATCTGGTTCAAAGAAAAAATTAATAGGTTACATTTTAAGACTGAATTTTGCTGTTCCAGCTAAAAGCTTACTTTGTTTGTTCACGAACGGAAAATCGGGAAATTTCGAATCGTTCTTTTAAATTCGTTAAAATCATCATGCAGCCTCCTACTCCTGAACGCAATCACGATCAATCGACATTTTATTTGTGACATTTCGTACTCTTGATTTGATACACTAGCGACCATTGGCTCAATGTAGTGTGGTTTTTGAATTAACTAATTGACATTGAGTAGAAATTAAGTATACGTTTCAAGAGTACGAGCTAAGATTTGGTCATTTGAGAGATCGGTTCAAGAGTGAGCCTGCATATCCGTGAAGAATATCTGAGCATCGGTGGCAGTTCTGCCTTCGTTATATCATAAATTATAAAAAATGAGTTTCGTTTTAATGATATTACACACTATAAATACCGTTGCAAAGCGCAGACGTTCGAAATTTAACTTTTTGCGTAAGTACATTAGTGCGCTACATCAGTTTTATCTTACTGTATTAGCTTTTTTCTGCAACGTAGTCCACGTGGTATAACAACTTTTAGCGAAGAATTTTAATACAAATTTTCATCACCTATTTCCACCTCTCTTATCGCCAAAGCCGTTGGTCCGGACTTCATTTACTAATCCGCTCTGAGCCCGTATGGCCCATTCTCCCTATTCGATCCAATCCCATTAGGGAATGCTATAAATATGCTGTCATTCCAAGATACTCACGGGCTGCGGTGCTGTTACGAAGAAACTGATAAACGCGCTCGCCAAGCATACAAGTATAGTAACCCAGATCGCTAAACTGGTGCGAGCGAATAAAGAGGCGCCCGCCAACGAAACTCCCAGACCCACGGCGTTCAGTATAGACCGATATAGGAACCTGTACCACCAGCCGTTAGGTATACCGGCACTCTCACCCACCAGGTACCCTGTACCACAGATATTATAATACTATACTATAGTACAGATACATGAATTCATAAGAAAATAATATGTCACTTTCCAAACTCAAGTAAGAATATTAGACATCTAGAATTTACATTGAAATAAATATGGATATTCTGATTCAAACATAAAAACCATTTTTTAATGCACATTTTTCTTTTGCTGTACTAGAAAAAATGCATTATTTAAAAAAGAGTGTATATTTTATAAATTACTATAACACTCACCATTAGGTCCAAAATTATCTACCAACGCTTCTGTGCATGCCGATATGCATAGAGCGCTCGATACAACATTAGCTAAGAAAAATAAAGTCCCAATAGCACCACCGAATTCAGGTCCTAGAGTTCTGCTGATCATAACTAATCTAGTGTTAAGGATATTAATATAAATTATATGTCCACAGTAGCTCGTTGGCGTAGTGGATAAGCGCCGCGGCACGCGATCGTTGTCGTTAAGCAACTTTCGCAAGGGTGACCAAAATATTATTATCTCGAGCTACTACGTGCTTCGGAAGGCACGTTAAGCCGTTGGTCCCGGCTGCATTTGTAGTCGTTAATACCCGCCAATCCGCATTGGGCCAGCGTGGAGGGTCATGGCCCATGCTCCTTAACCATCCATAAGGAAGGCCTGAGCCCCTGCAGTGGGGACGAAATAAAGGGCTGATGATGATATGTCCACAATAATTTACTCGTATGTTTACTAGATGGCGCTATACTATTTTACACATCGCGATATATTTGTTTCATAAATATTACTTAGTAAAATCAAACTATCCTAAACTAAAAAGAGTCGAGTTTCTTTATTAAAAGGTGCTTATAGCCAGATGGCTACTTATTTCTACTGCTGGAAGATTCCTGTTCCCTCTAGCGTTGTGTTACTCACTCTTTTTTAATGAGGATGAGTGAGTACCTCATTTTCCCTCGTGAGGGGCTCGCGAGTTACCCCTCATTTGAGGTGAGGATAGGTAATGTTATAGTAGCAGTGAATGAGTACATAGCGAGGCGCGCGCAACATTGTCGTTTGGTACAAAATGAGGGAGGGAGTCGTTAATGCTAATTATAGATTCTAAGAAATTAACTTTATTAGATTATTATTTAACAGAATGACGTCAACACGCAACTTATTTGCAATAGTGTTAAATGTTCCATTTTTAAAATCAATCAATCATTTATATTTCGAATCATATAAATATATTTCTAAATAAATCCGATACATTTTTATTAACTTTGATTTTTATTTAGACTAATTAATATCATTTATCTATAAAATATTAAATATGTATTTGCGAAGAAACATAAACAAACCTGAATCGTTCCAAAAAACTCATAAAACTTCACTAAAAAAGTGAGGAGCTTAATGAGGTGGTTCAAATTGAAAAACGAGTACTCCCTCATTTTGTCGAAATGAGGAACTCAAACGAGGCACCTCGCGAGTGAGGGGCTCATCACTAGTTCCCTCATCAGAATCTGGATATTCAGATCAAAGTACCCATTATACATAGATAAAACAAATCAATCCAGCAAGAACTAGCTGCTCCATTCAATATTAACATTTAATTATTATTTAAGTTACATGTGCTTGCCAAATTTTGAATCAATCGAAAAACGCAAAGTGGATCAAATTTAGCTTGCAAAATGACCCACGCTGACTAATAGGGCAAGTTAAGCTTGAAATATATCATACTTATTGTTACTTTACTACTGATTCTCACTAAAAATAAATATTTTTTCACGGTTACAAATAGTCCATGTCTCGCTCTAGCCTCCCAACAAAACGACGCATTGCTGGGCCGTGAAAGAAAGAGAAGCACACAAAGTAACGATTAAACTATCTCATTTAGAATATTGAGTATGGATGTAATTTCTTTTTTAGATCTTTCAATGATCCTTCAAGAAATAACAAATTGACTGTAATCTCTGTGTATATACTAATACTAGAGTTCTTTATTCATAATCTTTAAATTAGTACAATTTCTAAACCGTATCTAGATAGTAAGAAACAGTAGAAATAGCTTTGTTGCTTGTTTATTTGGTTTACTATACTTGTCTCAGATTACAAACAAATTTTGGACGTCTCCTATAACATAAGCGAATAAAGGATACAGTAAACACCGCCCCCTTCAACCGCGCCATTGGTGGAGATTGCACAAATTGAAGTCACGGTGAAAATCACAATCAAGTACGCGAGTCCAAACTGAGCGAGTGTTACGAACAGACCAGCGTTACCGACTAAATAACCTGTAAATAAAACAATCATAAACAACACATAGATTCACCATCATCAATTATCTTACTGTTTGTAATTTGTAACAGACACTAAAGGGAAATTGTCACCCTACGAACTTAGTACTAGTAGCTCGAGAAACGGGGTAGAGAAGTTGTTATGTGAAGTCGTGGCGAAACTTAGCGCGATACAGCTCGCGTAGCATTATGAACTCGTGATCGGTTTGTCTACACTCATATATTACTTTTCTCGGGTACGCTAATACGATATCTCACTCTCGAGTTTAGTGTTATGATATGCTAGTGTTATGAATACGAATTTTGATGTCATTTGGTATTATGAGTAATTCTTAGTCTAAATGTATAGGTAAAACTAAAATTGCACATTCGCAAGACATATGCTAACCACCTGCGCCATCGATATATATCGACATAAATCAGCGCTACATAAAATTATCGGAATAAGGTCAATGAACCAATCTCGTAGAAGCCAAAAATGCCGGTGCGTCACCCATCCGTGACGCCTCCTAGATATCAGCGTTGCAAGGTCACCGGGTTGCGTAGAATCTTGTTGTTACAAATTATTCATGCTCTCACAATATCACCCGAGATACCCGGTGACCTTGGGATTTATGCAACCAGAACACGTCCATAATAAAATACATTGTTATCGATAAGGGGAAGTTTTACATTATTTTCCTCTTTTAGACATAATTATAGTAACGATGTACACATTTATCATATTATGATAGCAGTTGATTCTATTAAAATTGGTAGAGTATTTTTTAAGTTTATTTCCTTCAAAAAAAACTTTTCGGTGGTGAGGAATTATTATAAAATTATTATGCCATTCTAAGATTAAAACATCAACCCTAGTGCAGAAAACACGTACACGACATATCCTACACAAACAGGATACGTCGCTTCACTGTGGATATGCCTGGTTTCGATTTAGCTTTGTGGTTTTTATAAAATGGATTTATGTAGAAAATTTACTATATTTATCCCAGAGCTAAACTTAATTATTAAGCAAGCTGTTTGCGTTGACAATTGCGGCCAATTATCATCTCAGAAATATTAACGATCATAAATAATGAGTAAATTATCAGCAACGAAGATTCAAAAATTAATATACAATGTAAATAAAATAATTAATCTGCGTAGATGGTAATTATAGTCAATTGTCCCATAATCTTTGGTGTTCAGCACAGTAGCATAGACACGAAATATGAGTCGGGAGTGAGATATTGTACGGACGCACCTGAAAATAGATATTTGATATTTGAACGTATACAAGACGTTGCAGGACTTCGTTATGCTATGCGTGCTGGCACTATGGCAAATCCTGTGGATGCTCCGTGGAGAGGCTCCACTGAACCACATAATTATGACTAGAGTAATCCTGAACGTGAGGCAAGAATGGTGTGCGGACGGCGCACAGTAGTATCTTGCTCATACTGACTGGGTAGTTGCTAGATCATAGATCAAAAATTTCACCATTATAGGTATAGCAACATTGACAACGAATAACTTAGAATATACGAGTAGTTTATAAAAAAACACGTTTGCTGTTTTCTTACAATTTTACAATTGGTCAACATTATACAATTGGTCAACATTATACAATTGGTCGACTATTACTCGTAAACTTCTAAAGCCAACTTAAGTGTTATAGCTAGAGTCGCGTGACTCTATTAACAAACGGTTTAATTAAACGAGAAAATGGCTTTCCGACACCACAATATTGTGGGAAAACCATCCCAACCATGTTCCACAATATGGGGAAGACAAAAAATATCATCCCCACTTTACACGTACGGGAGGTACACACAAAATTTTGTTTTCGAGATTTTACTTTATCACTTTGTCGGTGTAATTAACATTCATACTCATGTCACATTACAACTTTCTAGTGCCAATAGTTTTTGAGCTAAACCGCTCCTTTTTTACTACGGAACCCTTAGAACTAGGCGATACGAAGTTCACTGAGTTAACCAGAGATAAAGCCGAGGCGTAACTTACCCATTCGTATAAATATCAAGGCACTGAACATAGACAACACCACGGGACAAAACACTCCAGCAAAGGTGCCGACCTTCTTGACACCACCTCTTTCTGCTCTGAACTCGCCAAACTCCACATAGCCTAGGGAAAAAAATAAACTCAATAACTAGGTAATCTGTGAAACTTCAATAATCGATTTGAACCTTAATGTGATTATTAAGTACAAATTTGCTATCAGATATTCTATGGTTGGCCTTAGAGTCAATCAATATGCACTCTACATTCAATTCTGAATTATTAGACACAGTCGGTGTATACAACAAAGATATCGGAATTGAAATTGGATCAAGTGCACATAAGTTTCAACGCTTAACAGTATTGAATTTTGAGTGCATTTTGATTGAATCCGACCAATCCAATTCAACGAAATCGAAGTAAATGTAATTACGCGATAGGCCTGCTGATGGGAGGTACTGACTTCATACACAAACACCTTCAGGTTTTGTGTGGACAATCCAACAAAGGCCGTATTGTTATGATATTATATTACTTCCACTTTGAACAAATCCTGCGTCAGACACGAATATGAGAAATATGAGACTCTTTTGAATGACTTCTCACATTTTCTTTTCCTATCATTTGCACCTACATGGAGGCACACCAATATTTAGACAATAATCTCTTTGATGTGCATTCAAAAACACGGAATGGCAAAGTGCAATTTTGTGTTCAAATATGTCACAATAGTATCAAATGTCCGTGCCGCAGATGTAATCACCTATTTGATCACATATTTGTTTCCGTGTCTGGTGCCGACGTGTGCTGCATAAGCATAATATCACTCCGTCGTCATACAGGTACGCCCTTATTTTACCACATAAATGGTGTATAGAATGGATATTTTATACTTTGTCACATATTTGTGCGCTAATATTTTAATTGATCAAAACAGTATTCACTTAAGTGCTTATAACTTATTTAATCACATAAATGTTCACACTGTATAGCAGTAGCATTTGATACTTTGTCACATTTTTGTGCACTTATATTTTATTTGAAAAAAAGAAGCATTCACTGATGTGTTATACATGTCTGGCTCAGACAGCATAGGCGTAGATAGGGCAGGGTGAGCCGGGCCGAGCCAAAATATTCCCTCCCTCGTACATAAAATAATTAACAAAATTCATTGGTGGCCCATGGTCGCCCCTAGAAAAAATCAATAGCTACACTCATGACAGGCAGTTAAATATTCTGTTACCTTCTTTTTCACCTTCCATTTTCTTATCCCACATTATTATCACAACACAAACGCGCATACAGTTTCAAGTCTTAACCGTCACTAAATAATAAAATGTCTTATTTATCGATACGATGTAGGTACCTAGTTTCTTTATAACCTTGAAATTGTTTGAAAACAATGTGTTTTGCAATTAACAGAAGGTGCCGAGGATATACGCCTTTGTCAATTATATCGGTTAAAAGGCCAAGCAAATCATATGGTCTACAAGTGTATATATTTTTACACAACGAGTGTATATAAATATTTATTATTACTTAATCCAGATCTCCACATATATCTGTGCTAGATCCTCAGGCCTTGCCAATAATTACTATAAAAAACGGTAATAGGACCATGACCCACCACATGGGCCCTGGGTGGATAAGCGCGAATTATATAGACTACAAGTGCAAAGTCACACTGGCCAAATTCGAGCTAATTAAACTAGTCAAAAATATTTGTCAAAAAATAAAGGCCACTGCGCCTTTAGGATAAAGGGATAAACAAAAATGGAAATTATAAATCTGTCGCTCTATAGACACTGCGCCGTGTTCGATATAGCATTAAAAGTGACAATTACCTTCTCCCATAGATCGGCTGATGGAGCTATTTTGTCCCAATCTCATCCTCAGTTTATGCATCAGCCCTGGAGGCCTCGTCGAGTTCACACTCGGAGAGAGTGGATGCAAAGTTTCGGTCATGTCTGCCGACTTCGACGCTGTGATATCGATATCAAATTTAAAAATAATGTTGTCTTATTGATAAAAAAATTGAATTCATATGGTTTTCTTATTTAAGCTATAGTGACTTTAACGGTAACAGGTATTGGTAGAACTAAATAAAGTAAGATGTATATCTTAACTTATAATAATACATAGGTCCTAATATTTTTTTAAATTGAAAAAGCAAATCAAAACAGTTATATGAAAACTACATAAAATAGGGTTCATGCTAGGGTCAGGGATGTTGCAAATGCGGACTTTCATATAGATGTGGATGTGGAATATAACATAAAAAATCGAAAAAAAAACATTCAGTTTAATGTTTTACTATTTCATATTTCCATCTATCATCTGCTAATAGGCCAGAAAAAAACCTAAGTATATTTTAACAAAAAACTCATCAGCAGATGTAAAATACATCAAAATACGTAATCTGGGATTGTCATTATTAGTGAATGCTACTCTTTCTTGTTGTTTTGCCATTTTCGGTGATTGAGTAATTACTGTTTTATTGTTGTTTTCTTATAGTTTTGTTTCAGTTGTTATCTTCTTGTTTTTAAATTTTGCTAAATTGCGATTTCGGTGCAGGCCCAAGTGGCCTACAACAATTACCTTTGACATTTCAGCAAGTTTTTCCAACGTCTTAATCAATAGTCTAATAATATCTGAATAAATGTTATAACAGTAATAATAAAAATTTCATTTTGTTTACGTTTATTTTCTGGGCATAGATATAACTAAATTATATTCTAATTATATACACTTACAATTAGAATCAATCAAAACAGCAGATAGATAGTTTTATTTCCATGTTGGCTCTCAGTTAAAGATGAATTGTAAAATTGCCCAACTCTTTCAGACTACCTAAAGTTCAAAATTTCAACAAAATCATTATAAATATTTTTTAAATTTATCTTGTAAATAAAATGTTCTGCACTGCTGCTTCTGAGATCCTCTTTTTTCTAATGTTATAATGAATGGAGTATAGTATATCCGCATACGCAACATCCTAAGCTCGGGTACCTAATTGTCTAATTTTAAAGTCTATCATCACCCCATTCAATGTTTTGCTATTCTTAAGATAATTATAATCTTCACACTACAACTATTTCATATATGATAGCAATTGCAATCAGTTTTTGAAAGATGTTAAATGAACAATATAATAAATTTTATGTTAATTTGAATGATATAAACAATGTGAAAATGCTTGAAAGCTATTTAGAACATTTAAATGAAAGGGTTGCTAACTGCAATATTTCAATGAGTTTGATTAACTAACTTATTACTTTGTTTTTTGAACATTAAATTTCAAATCGTCATTTGGTCTTTAAAAAAGACTTTTAAAGTTCCTTAAATATACATTTGAAAAGGTTTATGAAAGATTTATAATTAATCAATTAGCCCACTTAGCCATTAGCAAATTTACTTCAATGCTAAACCTTGATTATTAATTACACTATATAGTTTAAGGTGTGGCAGTTTGTACTTCCACCAACACATCACATTGCAAAAATTCTACAATTGATTTTGAAATTAATGTATTAATATCAAGGTTTGAAGTCCTTTGAACTGTTCTGAATCCTTTATCTTGTTATAATTACATAAATGACAGAATATTTCTTATCAGCATGTTTATGGGTCAATATTAATTATATGTAATATAATTAAAACTGTAACTTTGATAATTACTTCTTACATACTTTATTAAGTCAGTTCAACAACATACATTTTTATTAATTATAATAGATATGTCATCTATGTATGAAAAAAGATATCTATGTACACACACAACATACAATTATCTAAAAAATTTTGAATGAGAGTTTTAACTTTGTTACCCAGATGTGTATTGACGATTTGGATTATAAATTTAGTATTAGAATAAACATGTATTTTTATATGAACTTACATACCTAAATGTATGTCTCCCATGTTTAATCCACTTTCATGCTGTACAATATAAAAAAATGTCTGCCTTTTACTATTTTTTAGAAATCTTATACGTTATTATCATAATGTAATTAGAGAAACTACCCAATGGATTCTCATGTCGATGACATCACAATAATACATAAAGCAATTTGGTCACAAAATAATATATGCCAACATTATGTATAGATGTAAAACTTCACTCATTACATAGTAAGTTTATGATATATAGTAGTATTCAAAGTAAAATGAAAGCAAACTAGCAGTTTAACTAGGAGTATTAATCACAAGAAACAAAGCAAAAACGTAAACAAATAATGGAACTCACTATTTTGAAGTTAGGCAACGTATCGTCTACAATATATAAATGATGTCACAGTTGTTTCTAAGCCCTAAATCATTGATTTCATGACATTTAATCTTTATCTATTATTCTTATTTTTAAGAATAACTAGGTTTGGGACAATTTTATTATCACAGAATTTTACAACTTCCACCCATTTCCCTTTTCGCTGCTGTCAACTGTCATTGTTAGTCATCAATGAGGGAATATTAAAAAAAAAATGTTCCTGAAATCAAACTAGATGTCGCTACGGTGTTTCGGGATTTCTCCATGACAACCTTTTCAGATTTCTTTCATGTATAAAAGTTAATTAATTTTCAAAACTCAATAAACAACTCATATTTTATTTGTACATTTTCATATTTAATTGATATCTAAATTTCGAACTTTGCAAATGTCTATTTTTTAATAAGTTAGTCAAAAGGAATGGAAATTACTATCTTTGATCCTTTCGCTTCCTGCAAAATCAACTTTTACTAGTGTCGCCATCTAGTAAGGTGCTTTTTAGGCTTTCTTTTTTTCTTAAAATACTTTCTCATTGAACTGTCTGTCAACTGTCATCTGTGGTCACGCTCCGGGTAACCAATGCTCCCACACCGAGCAATTTCTTTCGTGTCTCCCTCACAAGGGGCATTGGCAGAATTTCTGTGTATAACGGTAAAAGGTCAGAATATAAAAAAAAATCAATGCTCCCAACTTAGTTATTTAAATTACGAAGTTTTTGGCTCTGGTTTAGATTAATAATAACCCACGATTTCGTGTTCGCTGTTATCAGTTAGAAAGAATATAATTTATTAAACATATTACCAAAATATTAAATCTCGGAAACTTATAGTTTTATTTAATTTGACGACTGATGACTCGAAAAAAATGGAATAAATAAATGGAATAATAAGTGCGAACATTTTTTTATTTTTAAACTAAATAAATGTATCGTATTGCTTGAAACGAAACGCATTTTGATGGCAGTGGCGGGCGGGTGGCTATTTTGTAGCTTACTGATAGTTGTAATCATAGAATTAATAAGTAGTTGTACGTAGTACTTATTAATTCTATGGTTGTAATGTCTTTAAGCGCCGATTTCACTATCCAATTTATCGGGCACGATCTATCGGGTACACTATAAATTGGGAAGTCTAATCGCTGTTAGAGAGTTAGGGTCCCGATATCGAGTGATCGTGAGCGCCCGACAGCCCGATCTCAGTAGTTAGTGCGTAAGGGCCGATTTATCGGGCAATGTGATCGCTGTTCAATGATGTCAGACGTACCAACTTCTTGGTTTACTTACTAGTTTTTAGTGTCACGTACCATGTACCAAGACTACTCAGTCATTGTATGTAAAAATACCAAGATTGGCCGTAGACCGACAAAAATACACTGACAACATAGAATAATCGACAAATTTCAGAGATGCATGTAAAAAAACATTCCAATCAGATTTCCTTAATGTCATAAAACCTTATTATATCAAGCTATCTCGATGAGCAGTTAGCATTTTCCGCCATTATTTTCTCAATATGTTAGATAGCGTAATGGTAATGCGTTGCGCTCACGTTCACGGGGCCCCGGGTTCGATTCCTGCACGGGAATTTTTTTTTTGCGAACCGCCGTTTTCGATAAAAAATCTTCGTTTCAAATTATTTATTAATTTTTTACAATATATTTTACATATTATATCCGAAATGCAATATAATATAAAAAAAAAATTTTAAAGTGATATTTCTTCCGCGTGTTCTATAATTACTGCCCTCTATTAACGGTATACGAAATTGAAATGTGCATTTTTTTACTGAGATGCGATTTCCCACACAGTTTGTCTCCCAGAATTGGCAGCGCCAGAGCGGAGCACAGGCGTACTAGTTTCCCCTCTCGAATATCAGCTTTCAGCCAGCTCGGCAGAAGGATTTCGGTCGGTTGCTACGCAGCGTGCGTGTGAGACGTCAGTGAACGACAACTAAGAAATTTGCGAACACAGAAAAATGTGTTCTCAAAAGGAAAAAGATAAATATCCAATAATATCTTTGACGTGTTTCTGGCATAATTTTGTATGAGTGAATATTTTGTAATTTCATTTCTGTTTTCATTATAATTTAATTTCGTAATAAAAATGTAAATTATAAATAAATGAGTTTCTCTTTACTTAACTTTATATAATGTTTAAAACATTTATAGATAGCCCTGTGTGTCTCTGGTATAATTTGTGACAGCAGGGGTTCTGATATCAATGAGATTATACTTTAAGTCATGATATGCATTTCCCGTTGCTAAAAATCTGAAGGTCAGGTCATCAGCTAACAGTTGTTTAGCGCTTACACTAGTTCTAAACAGCGTATTTTGTTTTTTTTTTTATTTAAGGTGTGACTAAATTTAAGATATGATCAAATTATGCAGAACTACTAACATTCCGAGGTATTTTCTGAAATCCTTTGCTTCTAACAAACTCATAACGTTCCAACTGCACAGTTTATCTGTTTTTCCACCCATTTTTTTTTTTTGTTTTATTATTTACGCCCAAAGTGAAAGTAAGGGCTGTTCCAATTTTTTGGTACTTCATGAGTGCAGAAGCCATCCTTTCAACACCACGTTTGGATGCCAACTGACTTAGGGAGGCGATCTTGTGCAGTGTAATCTCAACGACGCCAACCGCCCTAAATCGAGGCCGATAAATCGTGCCCGATAAATTGGGTAGTGAAATCGGCGCTTTAGTGATGCGACTTGAATAGGATTTTATGACTGAAGTCACTCAAGAAAAAGTCTAACTCGAGATGTAAGTTTACAATTCACGTAATATTTATTTTATCAAATTTTAAACAAAGATTAAAATTATAGCGACGTGATATCTAGTAACAGTAAACAAATAGACACAATTAAGAAGCCGCTACCAGAATAATAGGTTAGATTAGGTTAGAACAGTGATCCCCTCCCCCGTCCTGTCAGCGTTGCTTCCATCCCTCTCCTTAGAGAGGGTACCGGATGCGGTGCTGGTGGGCCGGGGGGGGGGGGGGGACGCGGGCTTCTTGTTCCTGGTGGGCAGCCAAATTCCTGTGCCTCGGATCTTTCCGTGCGGACCGGACGACGGGTCTCTGGTGGCGGGAGCATGACAGTGTTCCCGTACTCGAGGTCTTGAATCCGCGAAGGTTACCTTCTCGCCTTGCAACCCTGTTGGTCACGATCGGCAGGGAGGCTCGGAGAGCTGGTAGCGAGGAAAACCGAGGAGTCGGCCGGCGTACGCTGGTGAGGGAATTTTCCATCTTGCTCTCTGGTAGTGGGGCCGTCGGGGCCGGACTGCCCCACACACCGTTCGGTGTGTGGAGTGACCGGGCCTCGGCGGGGCCACTATCAGAGTGCGACTAAGGAACGGAATACTGGTGACTGGTTCGGTGCACGCTGGGCTGGACATTGGTATCCGGGGCTATCGGGGTGAGGGATTCACGAGGGTTCAGCCCGTGTGAATTCCCTCTCTTAGACGGGCTAGGGTGGGAGATGCTCAATTGCGCATCTCTTGCCTTTGACAGGGGGCAAGTCTGGCGGGTTAGCGCGCTCGCCAGGCATTGCACGCTCCTTGTCCTGTCTGGGGATGGACTCGAATGTTCCTGAGCCCTTTCCTAACCCGAGACGGGACCCGCCCTGTTAAAGGGGTGGGTCGAGCGGGGACGGCATGCGCGGGAAGTGGTCCCGTTGGGGACCGTTACCGCGCGCTGATCCCCCGCAGTGAGGGACATCGCTGAGTTTTAGTGGGTAGGCCCCTGCTCTTTGACCAGCCCCATTCTGGGGTTGGTCCGCAGGGGAGAGTCCCACATAACCCGTGGAGCTCGCGCTGGGTGAAGCGGGTATGCGGAATGCATTTCTCAGCGTTAAAAAAAAAAAAAAAAAAAAAGGTTAGAACAGTGATACACTCTACTCTACCCACACAACACATACACACACAATCACACATACACAGTTACACATACACTGGCATACATACACTCTCACACACACATTCATACATTTCACACACACATCTACACGCCGTACTAGTCTAGAGTAGTATAGTGGGTACTTACCTGGGGACTTACCTACTGTGCTTGCTCGATGACTGGTGCGGCGCCGGGACCTCGGTAGGGCCGTAGCCGCGGAGCGACGAGAGGGGATGCGACCCGTCGACTGGCTGGACGCTCCTTGTCTGCCCTTCGGGGCTGATACAGGGAGTGATGAAATCAGTCTTCTGTGGCGCATCGACCTACGGGGGGGAGGTCCACGATAAGGGCTATGCCTGTGTGGGCCTCCCAACACGATGGGTAGGGGACCGGAGATTGCACAGTTGCGCATCTCTGGTCTCTAGTCGGGGGCAGCTGGCCGGTTCGCGCACCGGTCGGCATTGCACGCTCCTGCCTCGTCGTGGGGGTGCGTCTCGAATGTCTCTGAGGCGTATCCCCAACCCGAGCGGAACCTGCCCTTATCAGGGAGGGCGAACCGCGCGGTGCATGGCCTTCGGGCCGATCCCGCGCATCGCCTACCATGAGAGGGACATCGCTGAGTTTTAGTGGGTAAACTTCTGTTTCTTGTCTAGCCCCTCCGGGGGTGGGGCCACAGGAGGAGTCCCAGGGTGAAGCAGGGTGAAGCGGGTATGCGTAACGCATTTCTCAGCGTCAAAAAACAAAAAAGTTTAGAACAGTGACCTTAACAGAAATCCAATGGCCACACGAAACAAGCCCCTATCAGAATTACAGGTTAGGTTAGGTTAGAACTGTGACCTGCGGCGGTTTTGCTGTTTTCCCGCTACCAGGCGCGTCTCTCGGGTGGCGGATGGTAGCGGCTTCGGCCGCCGTGGACCGTATGGCTTCGGCTGTACAAAATAAAACAGCACTGGACTCGGTCATTGGATTTGGATTTTTATGCTCCGATGAAGATGGCCGAGCAGCGAAAAGTTACTGTGAAAGGTGGTGAGAATGATGTATGTGTATGTATGTTTGCGTGTATGTATGTGCAGTGGAAGTTATAGATAGGAGTAGAGGCACAGGGTTGGGGCAAACGAAGGGAGTACAAATGCGAAAGTATATGTTTGGTTGTGTGTATGTGTGTGTGTATATGTGTTGATGGCCGGGTAATCCTGAGTCGTTTACCACCTAGGGTTCCGCTAATAAAAGCACCAAGCACAAGTTGTTAACTTGGTCTGGGGGGGTCTGTCCCGTATCAGTACCGTGGGAGATACCGGAGTGGGGGGGAAGGTAACTTCTTTCCATCCTCCAGTGGATTCCTACCTTCTGGATGGGACGGCTACCCGGGGTAGTGGTATCCGACAGTTAGGTGAGTGCGGGTGGATACGGTTGGGTGCCCTAACCCTAGTGTGGCCTGTCCAGTTGCTCCGCTGTCGAGGGATTAGGAGTGAGGAGGAGATGTTATCGGTTGGAGTATATACTCTCTAATCGGTGATAGGGTAGACCTGGCTGTGATCCACACTAGGAGAGTGGAGCCTAGTCAAAGACGAGCAGCTTTTAGGAACCGTATGTTTGAAGGTGTGGTCCCTACTTTGATGATGGAGACAACTGGTCAGGGAAACTAAAGGATAAATTGTCTCCCTCCGAGCTAGGTGTTGTTAACCCGGGGACCACGGTCCAACCGATGTAGGTTGGACGTTCTATTTATGGTAATTGGTAATGAAACTTATTCTGTGCGATGTAGGTTTCTTTGTTCTAAATGCCTTGTAGTTATTAATTTATGCTGTTTGTATTGGTACAGCGCCATCTCGTTACTTGCTGTTGAAACTTATTGCAGTTTGTCTTGCTATCGATGGCTGTGACGATGCTAGTCTTCTCGCTATCGATTGTTGTGGCAATGTTACTGCGATGAATTAGATGTCGCTATGTATCAGTCGCCACAAGCTCTCGGATCTGGTAGCACAAAAGCTTCGGCCAGTGATAATGATTCCAGATTTTGTGAGGCTGTCTGGGTCTACTCGCCCCAAAATTTCGCTCTCTCCTTCCAATGGGAGGGGAGAGCGAAATAACTGTGTATGATGAATACTGTGTATGTTGTCGTCTCGGAGTTTTGAGTCGGAGTCTGGCTGCTGATTCTGTCTGCTGGAGACGCACTTCGGTGCCGCCCGGGAGTCGGCAAGCTGGACCTGACTGGACTGTGACTAGGGCTCTTTGTTAGCGCGGTGAAGCTGATGATGAGGCCTTATGGCTGGACATCGGTGGATCTGCAAATTGTTAGCGAAGGCAGACTTGGATGTGGTTTCTGGGTTTGATTGCTGCTAGAGGGACATATGGTGACCGAACCAGATGGAGCCATGGCCAAGACTAAATTGAGACGGTTTATTCCGACTCGCGCCTTTTTCCTGCGGCGGTTTACTGTTTCCCGCTACCAGGCGCGTCCCCCGGGTGGCGGATGGGGGTAGTGGCTTCGGCCACCGTGGACCGTACGGCTTCGGCTGTACAAAATAAACAGCACTGAAGGGCTCGGCTGTTAAATTCGGATTTTTATGTTCCGATGACAACAGCTGAGCAATGAGTCGTCGTCTTGGCGTTTTGTGTTCCGAGACTGACAGCTCAAGTGGGAGTGGCCTCGGATTTTTATGTTCCGAAGGCGACTCATGAGTGGGAGTGGAGTGGGAATAGAACGTCCAACCTACATCGGTTGGACCGCGGACCCCGGGCTAACAACACCTAGCTCGGAGGGAGACAATTATCCTTTTGTCTCCCTGGCCAATTGTCTCCATCATCACTGTAGGACCCAACCTTCAACCTTACGGTTCCTAAAGTGGTGACCCCGACGTGATATCAGCAACCTTCAGCATCATAACGCAGCCATCACTCTTCATCAACAGCCTCTCATCCTTCACCAACAACCTCTCATCCCTCATCAGCAAGCCAGCCAACACCAAGGTCCATCACAGCAGCATCGACGACGCTTCCTGGATCCTTGGCACCACCCGACGGCATCATCCCGACCTGGTCCTCGCAGCCCACGACCGGACCTCAGTTCACACACAACTCACCGGCGTGGCAGCCCTGCACACCAGCAGCTTCGGTCCCGACGTCACAATCTGGCACTTGCAAGCTCTGAAGCACTGACTGCATACCTACCTACTATCAACATGGATCGACCTTTGGTCTAGGGGGAAAGTACTGTGGCGACTGATACATAGCGACATCTAACTCATCGCACTAACATCGCCACAACAATCGATAGCGAGAAGGCTAGCATCGTCGTTTTGTGTTCTGAGACTGACAGCTCAAGTGGGAGTGGCCTCGGATTTTTATGTTCCGAAGGCGACTCATGAGTGGGAGTGGACCCGGTTATGGACTCCGGGTTTGGTTGCCTTGCCAGACGGGCTTGATGGTGACCGAACCTGTTGAGACTGCGATCGAGTCTGCTCATGAGGGAGTGATCTTAGTTACGATTTCCGGGTCCGGCTGCGACATGCCAGAGGGGCAAACAGCTGCGGGACCTGTTGGTGTTGTGACGGAGCCTACTAACTGAGAGAGTGGTCTTAATTATGACTTCCGGGGCTGATTGCGACATGCCAGAGGGGCAGACTGCGATTGGAACTGTCGAGGTTGTAATGGAGACTACTAACGGGAGGGGTGTTAGTCATGGTTTTCATGACTGGTAGTCAGTTAAGCGATTTTGAGGTCTGATAGCGCCCCTTTAGGGGCTGTCGACCTGGTTTCTCTGCAGGGATACGTCTGCCGGGCGGGCCTGTGATTGACAGTTAGTGAGAGGAATGCTTGGAGTCGGCCTGCGTTTTAGTGGGTGAAGGGAGTTCCCTTTGTGGTCCTGTTTATAGGGTCACAAAGGTGAGGGTCAGCAAGCGGTGTTGAAGTCCGATAGCGCTTTCCCCCAGTGGGGTAGGTTGTGGTCGGACTGGCCACTTGCGGAGCTGAGACGTACAGGGGGAGGGATTCACTTGTGAGTTCTTCCAATTGGATAGCGAGGACTGGAAATGCTCAATTGCGCATTTCCTATCATTGGTAGGGGCAGTCGGCGGGTTCGCGCGCCCGCCGGCCTTGCACGTCCCTACCCTGCCTGGGGTGTTCTTCTTGTGAAATCAATGTTCTCTTTAGAGATTTACAATGCAATTTTTTTTTTCGCAAGCAATTAAAACCACTCTCCAAATTTGAGTAAGTTAATCTTTACGACAAATAATGAAATACGTGTTTTTTCTTTTTATGTCGTTTAGAACAAAAATGTTGAGTTATATCGTCACCAAGTTATTTTCAAAAAACCTACATTTGTGGACGCTCTCGCTGCCCAGTACATGCGCTTTACGCGCTACGTTACACTTACCCCTCCCTCCCTTGCTGCAATTCATTGATAGTAATAATAGCAGCTACCTAAAATGTTTTCATTTTGTCATGCTTGGGGGAAATGATAAATAAAGTTGAAACCTCTTCATACTTTTACGGGCTTAGGACCGTCAAATTGCATAAATCCTATTAGATACCTACTATTACAATAGCTATACTGCTTTAAATTTATAAAGTAAGTAGGTAAGTAAATATCGAGTTACCTAAAATTCTGTTTAGTTAAACCAATTCAAAGTAGGTACTTAACTCGCTATTCTTTTGCAATCAGGCGTATTTAAAAAATCATCAACTTTATGTACATAATCAACTAATCAATTTACCTACCTACTTTAACTACTTACCTACGTATACTTTAATAGTTGTTCAAAGTACATACCGTTCCTCTCCAAACAGAGTCTTGCACCTTTTCTGCACATTGTCTTTTAATTTTGCGTGCACTACCGTGTCATTTTTCACTTGGTAAAATGCCGCTCTGATTTGCACTTTTAAGTCCTCGAGGCTTTGTGCTTCCTCAACGTACACACGTCTTTTAATTTCGCCCCACAAATAAAAGTCACACAAGGTCCGGCGATCGCGCAGGCCCCACGATGGGGCCTCCGCGTCACGTTGATCACCATGTATGTAACACTGCACCATTTCATAATATTCGCGATTGGAATACATTACGACGCGCGAAATGTGGCGCTGCGACGGGCGGTGCGCAACACGGAAGCAAAGGCGGAAGCGCATGCGTTCAAAGGGGTTGTGCGCGGGCGACTGACTGATGTGCGCCGACAAAATAAAAAACCGAGCAGACATTGTTGTTGGCGCATGCGCGTACATCCCCTGCTGCCATGTTTTATTCATAACTAATGTGACAATGCAAATGTTATAATTATCTTGTAATTGCAACAAGTTTACATTTCATTTTGAAAATTTTACATACCGTTTTTTTTTCATATATATGATCTATTAACGATACCTAATGCCTACAAAAAATTTGGAGAGTCATTTTAAATGCAGCCGTATATGTATCTTTAAAACTACGCATTTCCGAAAGCGAGGAGGTGTGCCGGTGGTTGTTCCCCCTCCCGCTCCCCTAGCCCACCCCCATCCAGTGAGAGATCATTATCTAATATAAATCAATGTTTTCTTTATAGATTGACAATACGAATTTTTTTTTCTAACATTTATATTTTTAAAACTACGCATTTTCGAAAGCGGAGAGGTGTACAGGGGGTTTAGTCCCAGCTTCCCTCCCCTCCTCCACCCCCTTTTTATCCAATATCGTGGGTCATTAATCAAAATCTCTACATCAAAATTACATAATACAAATATAACATAAAACAAAATATTCATATTGATGCTGGAAAGCCAACACATAGTAACCAGCAAAATCAAATCAATATTTAGAGTAGAAAATCTTTATATTTTTCAATATCTCTTACTACTAATATATTTCTAAACTTCTCTATGGATTAAATATATTTTATCAAAGAAAAATTGGAGATGTTCATTTCTTGATTATAACATTTACCTACATTTTCCAATCAATTACGAACCTTATCATATTGACAGAAGAGTTCAAAACATATGCGGAAATTTCACTTACTGTGGTAACATGAACAACTTTTTAATTTTTAAAATAATGACAAGAAAAAACACCAAAATAAAAACAGTTACACATTTGTTACAAATTTATTGTGTAAGATCAATTATAATTTCACTTACATTTCTCACATAGTGTTAACTTAAATGTTAATTAAAGAAAGCAGTCTTAAAGTTATGTTTTTAGCCTATATTCTATCTAGTGACTCTAACATAATGATGCTGTTTCCTCTAATGACCTGAAACAGTAAAAACATATTTTTTTAAAACTCTTTATTGAAGTAACTATAGCCATAACAAGTATTAGCCTATCAGTTTCTCAACAGTTGAGGCACAAGCCTTTCCTATTGATGAAATCAAATAGGGTGATGACTATAATCAATTACAAAAGCACAGTGAGGATAAACTGCAGATGTAGCCAAGACCTTAGGCTTCTGAAGCATAGAGGGACCATTGAAAGTTTAGTATCCATCTTGTGACGTGACTAATGAATGTTGCTTAATATAATCATCTCATCATCAGGCAATGTGTCTGATTAAAAAAACGGTTAAATATATTTTATAACAATCATTATTGTTTTAGAATAAAGTATCTGTAAATATTTTTCAACATTAGTTCATTTTCGTCTTGAAAATAATTATTAAAAAGTGCAAAAAATGTGGTAACTTCACAATATTCAAACGCCATGCTACTTGTCAGAGTGGATGTGCCGAAAACGTACACGTATAAGGATGTTGTTGTTACTAAAAGTTAACATCAATGCAATCACATCAATGTATTATGTCACAAAATTAAACAACAGATCTCAATTTAAATGATTTTTTAGGCTTTTATTTTTATTTCACCACTTTAGTAAACTATATGATTTATTAAAAAAGTCTATTATACTTTAAAAAATCGATTAGTTGTTAATCAATTAATTGTAATAAGGGTAATTGAATGATAAATAATGGTGAATCCATATTGATTTCAAATGTCATATCTCTAGTTGTGTACTTTAACATCACAACAAGCGCAACAAAAATTCCAACGTTTAAACTGCTTGTAGCTATTACTTATTTTCATCAATTATTAATGTTCCAAAATTTTAGTTTTTCAGTGTCGGGTATTTTTTTACAGTTATATATCGATATAAATTATCATATAAATACATTTTCCAAAAATGTGCATATATTAAGGTTTTCAAGACTCCAGTTTGGGAAAATAGTCAATCACTAAGTCTTTACTCAAAATTTAGTATACATAATTAACTACTGTTGTTTATAGTTAATTTATGTTGACTCATCAAAATGTGAATACATTATCTCAGAGCTTACTGCTTCCAAATTGCACCCCTGCAATGCCATTATTGCATTAGGTGGGCATCAATTTGTTCGTTCAGTAAGATATAACTAACAATTATTTATAACATTTAAAAAAAATACCACTTACCACCATGCCAATGTTATTTCGCTGTCCATCTTTGGTTTCCTCTACAGATTCATCCAGCACAAGATTCATGAAAGGATCAAATCCACGCAGGACTCCTGTTACTGCCCGCCCAGCATTTAATTTTATTGACAACTTCTTATCCATGAACCTGAAATAATTTGAGTCAACATATACTAAATTAAAATAATTAAAAAAATAACGCTGTCCACATGAAATACAGCCGGCACTGTAGATTATAATTTATATAAACAAGTTTATAAACTGTAGTTTATGATTTAATATTATGAATACTTTAATTCTATCGTAATATTGTATTATACGCATGTAAATCTAGAAAAAACACGAAATTTAGTGAAATGTTTTAGTGCATAATAAAAGTGAGGTTACAACGTTGTAAGCGTATTCCTTTACAAATCTACTTACTTTTTTAACTCTGGAGGGTGGGCTTTCGACATGTTTTGTTATTATATCACTTCAATTTTAAAATATGTTACACAATGGACGCGTTAACTTTACGTTAAAATTGAAACGCGCGGCCCGTACAAACTCATCACAAACTATAGGTATAGATTTTTTTTTTTTTATTTATTAGTGTTTACGGCTCTGGATACTAGTCCTTTTAAGCCTTACATAGTTTTTTGACAGAATACAAGACAAAATTCGTTCATTGTTCTTTCTTCTCACTCAGATATTTTTGACAGTGTTGACAACAAACTTGAATAACGGTTTAAAGTATTTGTAGTCTTTTAATAATTCTTCCAGCGTTGATGGTATGTTCTTGGTGATTGCTTCAAGTTCGCTAACAAGTACCAAGCGATGTAGTCCAAACCGTTTACATTTGAATATGATATGTTGCAGATCTTCATTTTCTTTACAATCAGGGCATTTTGGATCATCTGCCATCTTCAATCTATGCAGGTGAGTGCGAAACTGACCATGACCAAATCTCAATCTGTTTATAGTAGTTATGAACTTTCTACTCTGTATTGATTTATTGTACCACCAAGGTTGGGCGGGCGGGCTTCCTTGGACCTTTTTGTACCATTGACCTTTCTCTTTGCTAATTAACTCCCATTGGTTTTTCCAGAGCATCGCCAAGTTTTGATTAACAACAGCCTTAAAGTCAGTAAAAGGAATCTTCATTGATTGTGAATGGTCTTCATTGGGTGTGGATCGTGCTATTTCATCAGCCTTTACGTTTCCTGTAATGCCACTATGCGAAGGTACCCACATAAAATGTATAGTTTTATCTGAATCATTTAGGTTACTTAAGACTTGTTTGATATAAAACACTAAATAATTAACATCATATTTACAACTATTTCTAAATGAATTTAATACACTTTGTGAATCAGAAAGAATTAAAAACTTGTTAACATTTTGTAGTGCTGAGATATATATTAAAGCCTGATAGATAGCATAACATTCAGCTGTATATATACTACAATTACTTGGGATTAATATACATTTGCTTAAATTTAGCTGGACATCATAATAAGCAGATGTCACTCTATTATCAGTCTTAGAACCATCTGTGTATACTCTATAATAAGATTGGTTTTCTAGAAATTGCATTAAATCTTTGTTATTTTGTATTGGTTCAGAATGTAATATGAAATTACAATTTATCAATGCATTATATGAAATATTGTACAGAGGCCAAGTATTATCTATATACAGATTTGAATAAAATTTATGTACATATAGCACAATTGCTACCATTTCTGGAGTGTATCCAGTATTAAGTGAAGCATTATTGATATAAGAACCTCTTTGCATATTCTGTAAAGTTTCTAAAGGTAATAGTCTGCCTGTAATAAATGAGCTTTTATAAGAAATAGTTCTTAAGCAAAATCTTTCTGCCAACTGTAAACGCCTGAATATGAGTGGTGGAATACAGCTTTCTGATTGCATCACATGAATAGGAGTAGAACACATTGCCCCAGTTATTATTCTCAAAGCTCTATTTTGAAGAACATCTAATTTACGTAATAAACTTGAATTAGCATTCATGTATGCTAGACAACTGTAGTCAAAGTGACTTCTTACCACGCTTTTATAAAGCATTGACAAAATTTTCGGATCTGAACCCCAATGTATACCAGCCAGAGATCTAAGTACATTTAAACCTTGTGTGGCACTTTTGATTATCTTATCAAAATGTTTCTGAAAGCTCAACTTAGGATCTAAACATACACCCAAGAATTTGTGGTCTTGAACCCATGGTAAACAACTATTATTGTACATAACATCATTATTAAGTGTACTATAAGGTATCTTACTAAAAATCATAGCAGAACTTTTTGAGGCACTTATTTCTAATTTTAATATATTTTTGTAATAGTGGTGTATTTCTGTTAATGCTCTATTTATTTTATTGATAGCAATATTTACATTATTATTTACAGTATATATAACTAGGTCATCAGCAAATTGTAGAAAATATACATTATTTTCCTTTAAATGTTGTTTAATTTGACATGTATAAATATTATACAATATAGGAGAGATTGTTGCTCCTTGCATAGTACCTTTGTAGACATTTCTTGGACCATGTAATATATTGTTATACTTTATATACATATGTCTGTTAAATAAAAAATCAAACACCCATTTACAGAGTTTACCTGGAACACCAATATCATGAAGGACTTGGGACATGATGGAAGGATTCACATTATCGAATGCACCTTTAACATCAAGAAATGCACAAACTGTCACGGAATGTTGAAGAAATGATGTTTTTATATCAGATATCAATGAAATAAAGCTCTCTGCAGCACTGCGACCTTTGCGAAACCCAAATTGTTCTATAGGTAATATTCTATTACTTTCAATGTAATAATCTAATCTTATTTTGATAATGTTTTCAAATATCTTACCTATACAAGAGGACAAAGAAATAGGTCTATATGAATTGCTTTCTTGTATTGGCTTATCTGGTTTAAGGATTGGAATAACACACTGTGTCTTCCATGATTGTGGTATTGTCTGGCATTCCCAGAGTAAATTAAATATAACGAGTAACTTTTTTTGTGCATTTATATGCAATTTTTTTATAAGATTATATGTGATATCATCAAGACCAGGGGTAGTGTCTTTTCTAGACTGTAAGGATGTTTGGAATTCTTCCCATGTGAATGGTTTTATAAGAAATTGAGCATTTAAACTTCCATTGCTATCAAAAAAATATTTTAACTTATCCAAATCTATATCTTTTTCAGATGGAATTGAAGGTGCATATTTATCAAAAAAGGATGGGACCCAGTCATCATTTTTAGGTCGTTTGGAAGATGAAATTCTTTTGAATCGCCTCATGTAATTCCATATTATGCTTACTGGAGTGTATCTATTAAAGGACTCACATAATTTTAACCAACTGTTTTTTTTCTTTTCACAGAGTAGTCGCTTTTTGTGAGCGTCACTTTTTTTGTATTCTATGTAATTATCAATAGTTGGATGAGATCTATAGAAATTTAATGCTAGTTTGCTTTTTTTGACAACTTCTTTACACTCATCGTCCCACCATGGAACTGGTTTCTTTTTAACGAATGTAGTATTCTTTTTTAATTTAGGTATATATTTTTCTTTGAGAATATTTAATATCTTACAAAAATTATTATATGTATTCAGAGAATTATTATTTTCAATTGTAATATCATCAAATGCTGATTCACTGTCAATATAAAAGTTTTTCCAATCGGCTCTGTTGTATAGAAACCGTTCAAAAGGTTCGCCTATTTCATATTTTTCAATTGAGACGTGAATATCTATGATGGTGGGATAATGATAACTGCCCATTGAGTCAGAATATACACTCCAGTTACACAATGGAGCCACAGAAGGACTAACACATGATATGTCTATTGCTGAAGGACTTTGACCAACACGTCCTACAGTGGTTGTAGAGCCCGAATTTAGGATGCATAAATCGCATTCGTCAAACATGTTGTAAATATTGTTACCTCTGTTGTTAGTTGAGTGACAGCCAAATGCTATGTGGTGTGCATTAAAATCTCCTGAGACTAATATAGGTTTAGGTAAATCATTAATAATCTTTTTTAAATTGTTGCTCTGAAAGTTTAAACGCCCTTGCTTCGGAGGAGGACAATAAATGCACAATATAGAGAGATTACCTATATCAGTAAGTATGGTAATACCTACTGCTTGTGATTCTTCATAGAAAGGAATTGAATGGACAGAATATTTGAAATAATTTTTGATCAAGATCGAGACTCCACCTCGACCACCAATACCTATTTGATTAATTATGTCATAGCTAGAAATATGTATATTATTATTTTCTTTTAACCAGGTTTCATTTAATAAGCAAATATCTATGTGATTCTCTTGAAGATAATTGATGAGGAGTGGTTTTTTGTTAATAACACCTTCTATGTTAAACTGGGATATTCTTAGAAAACTTTTATCCATTATTTAGGTTTTAGAGTTTTAATAAGTATCTCCTGTATTATGTTACTAGTTATGGCTCTATCTTCATTTCCTATTGCAACCAGTGCGCCAACTATGGCCTTGCGGATAAAGTCGTTATTGATTATTTCATCAATTAACTTTTCATTTGAAAGTTTCACCACTTCTGTGGTTTGTGTAGGATTTAGGATGGTAGAAGGGGTAGTGGTGGAGCCTTGTATTTTATTTGGTGTTAAGGGCTTTTTAGGGGTAGACAATTGCGGGAAGTTAGTTTGATAATTATTCATAGTCATATTACCATTGTATCGTTCTCTTTTGGATAATAAAGCGTTTGCATAACTTACTTTGTTTTTCTTTTCGTCAATTTTTTGTTTTTTAATAGGACAGTCACGTGAAATAGAGAGATGTGAACCTTGACAGTTTGAACATTTAATGACTTTATCATTTGGACATTGTGTGTAATGGTGCTCCTCGGAACAAACGGAGCATTTTTGTACCGATTTGCATACTTTCGCCCCATGGTTGAATTTAAAGCACTTATAACACTGTAATAAAGGTGCATTATATTCATGGACTCTGAATCGGAACAAATCAAGATAAACGTATTCTGGTAGTACATTTGATAAGAAAGTTATGCTGACTGTTTTAAAAGTTTTGATAGTACCATTCTCTTTTTTTGTAAACCTACGTACAGCTACAATTTCAAAAGGAGAGCTTAATTTCTTAAATAACTCTTCGTTACTAATACTGGTGGGTACGAAGCGTAGTACACCAATCTTTTCTACTGCTGAGGCCGGGATATATGCTTTGAATTTGTGCTTTGATAAGAAATCTTCATTTTTTAGAAAGTTATTGGCGTGGTTCGCTTGAGAAAAGGTCACACAGATTTTAGTGGGGTTGATCCTTTTTATATTGATGATGCCCTTTATATCGTTTTTGAACAGATTGGTCGTCAGAATTGGATTGTTGTTGCCTAATTTTTCGTTTTCTTTATAACTTTCTACGAAAACACAGTATTCAGCACTCACCGCATTGTCAGGAAACAGTCTTTTATAATCATGTTTAATATATGGTTTGTAAAAATCTTCAGAGGCTGCCTTGTCTGCTTCACTTGCTCTATTAGGAGCTTTTCGTTTTTCGGTCCCGCCGGGCGGGTCGTACCCGTCCGGCATGATTATTTAAATGTACAATATTAATAACTATTTTACAGTACTTTTTAATTAAAACTAGAATTAAAAACAAGAAA